CCGCCCTGAAGATTCGGCTTCAAGTTAAGATGGTAGTTATGAGGGCCCGCGCCATTACTTCGCAGGATTCCGAGCTAAGGTGAAACCAAGGTGAACCGCGGAGCTCGAGACGACGGACCCGATTCAATGCAAATTGAGGCCAGTGGTGGCGCAGCTCGGCTGCCCTGGCGCCTCGATGGCGCCGGCCGAAGCGCGGGCGCTCTGCGTGAGTCGCCCGACTCCGCGCTGAACAGTGGTGCCGCAGCTCGGCTGCCCTGGCGCCTCGATGGCGCCGGCCGAAGCGTGGGCGCTCTGCGTGAGTCGCCCGACTCCGCGCTGAACGCTTAAAGCGCGCGCTGCCCAGCGATCACGGGTCGAACGCAATTCGCTCGACTCCGCGCTGGTGAACCATGGCCGCGTCCGACGGCGAGAAGCAGCTTACAGAACCGCAAAACGTCAAATTCACGATGAGCCACGCGCTCATCAAGAGTTGCAAACAAGTGGAGGCGATACTGAAGTCGACGCCATTGAAGACGCAGCGCGCGAAGCGCGGTGTCCTGCGGCTCGCGCAGGGAAACGCCGACCGCTTGGAGCAGGAGATCGCCGCGTTCAAGAAGAAACACCCGGAAGGGATCTACCCCCAGACCTTTGCGTCAAACCTCATTCGACACGTCGAAGGCCTCGTCTTCGAGTGCTTCTTCGACTGCGCGCGCGTCTCGCTCGAGCAAGGGTCCTACGAGGAGGCGCTCAAATTCGCGCTAAGTGCCGGCCGGTTCTCCGTTATACACGACGACGCCTGGGAGGTCCGCGTCGCGACTGTGGTCCTGGACGTCGTCAAGGCATCCTACCGGGGCCTCGGCAACATGGAGGCGTACGCCAAGGCCACGATGGATCAGGCGCGGATGTGCGGGCGGCTCGGCCTCGACAACGAGTGCCGGGTGAAGATCCTGTGCGAGGCCGCGGCGGCGCAGATCGGCCTCGAGCACTGCGCAGACGCGATCGCGTCCGCGTCGGAGGCGCTCCGCATCGCTGAGACGCCCCAGGGGAATATGTACGCGCACTACCAGCTGGGGTTGAGTTTTGCGTGCAGCGACGCGGGCGTCGGGCTCCTCCACCTCGAGGAAGCGGAAAAGCTCGCGAAGGTCCATGAACGCGGCGACTTCTTCGATCCTGCGGAGTTTCTGGACTT